GACATAACGTCCCTAGATACAAACTTATTCCTTTATCCATCTTCACGCGATGAAATATTTAAAATAATTATGTCACTCAATAACACATCATCGGTGGGATATGATGAATTACCAACGAAAGTTTTAAAATACTGCGCTCTTATTCTTTCAGAAGTATTAAGTTACTTGGTGAATCTATCAATGACTGAAGGCACATTCCCTGAGGCTCTTAAATTATCAATTATAAAACCTATACATAAAAAAGGCGAAACAGACAGAATGGATAATTACAGACCCATTGCTTTAATACCAGTACTGGCAAAAATTTTTGAAAAAGCAATGCACACTAGGCTTTATGACTATTTAGAAAAATTCCACATACTAGCTGAAGAACAAAATGGTTTTAGAAAAGGTAAATCAACCTCTTTAGCGGCATTTAACGTAATAAAAAATGTAACAGAAAATATTGATAACCATATTGATACTATGGTGGTATTATTTGATATGAGTAAAGCTTTTGATTTTGTTTCGCATAATATACTTTTATCCAAATGCGAGAAATATGGTATACGAGGGAATGCATTAAATTGGCTACAAACTTATTTACAAAATCGCTCACAGTATGTTGAAATTAAATACGTTAACGAAAATAAAGAGGAAGTTGTATCAAAGTCCTCAATCATGGTAAATAACATAGGCGTTCCACAAGGAACTATCTTGGGACCATTGTTATTTATTATTTACATTAACGACCTTCCTGGTGTGACTAGACATAAATGTAATTTATTTGCGGACGATATATCAGTAGTGATACCTAAAGACCCAAACGTAAATTACAATAATGACATTAATAACACAATTAACAAGATTACAGAATGGCTTATGAAGAACAATTTAAATATTAATATAAATAAAACAAAATATATTAGATTCTATAATAAAAAACCCAAACTAAACAACTTGACTATACTTATTAATAATGAAGCTATACAAGAATCAAACGATGCTGTTTTCTTGGGTATAGCAATTGACAGTCAATGTTCATGGAAAGCACATATTAAGAAAGTATGCACCAAAATAATCAGATTTTCATACGCATTATGGCGATTGACGACGCAAATAAATCAAAAAGCTTCTTTAATTGCATATCATGGATACGTAGCATCCAATCTCAGATATGGAATAGTTCTTTGGGGAAACTCAATAGATTTGAATAGGGTTTTTATATCTCAAAAGCAATGCGTACGAGCTATATGTAATGTACCACCTTTGACGTCATGTAAACAGTTATTTCCGAAACTGAACTTATTAACTCTTCCTTCGCTGTATATTTTGGAATGTTGCGTTTTTGTAAAAACTCACCCATGTCTGTTCACACGTAAAGATATAAATTCTACTAGAAGTAACAGATATCCTGGAAAGCTCTTGTTACCTAAAATGCACACCGCCCTATTTAAAAGAAACTGTTATCCCAGTTGTGTGAAAATTTATAATAGATTACCTCATTCATTAACTAAACTTAATTTGAATATATTTAGAAGAAAATTATCAAACTGGCTTAAAATTAAATGTTTCTACTCAGTCAAGGAGTATCTAAATAGTAAGATTGACATACAATAAATATTGACTAACCTGTAATTGACATTTTTATTTCTATTTTATTAATTGAATTTCACGGACATTGTGTTTGATAGTATCTGATATTAGCTTTATTTTTGAAATTATTGTAACATTTTAATTTGTTTGACATTATGTGAATGATAATAATATAATTTAATTAATCAATTGTTAATTTAATTAATTGTTTGATAATTATACTTGTATGATGTAATTTTATAATCAATATATTTGCATGCTATTGTTGATGGCTAAATGGGCTGGACTCATTAATATTGTATTTCTACCTATGATGTACCTCATTTAAAGGCAAATAAATATTATTATTATTATATTATTATTATTATTATTTAAATATATTTATAATTTACTCTTCCCGACCCCTCGACGATTCGAGGGGGGGGAGGATTCCCCCCGGCAGAGGAGGCCAGACGGCCGGGGGTCAGGGCGACAAAGAGAGAAAACGGCGGACGATCCTTGCGTTATCGAGCAAGATCGCCCGCTGGAGCCTCGCAATCATTGGTCCGTCACGGAGTCCCAACCTCTTCAGATGGTCGTGAAGAGAAGTCGGGACTAGGCCATTCGTTGACACTACGACTGGGATGATCTCAGTGGATGACACTCGCCACATATCGGTAACCTCGTGCGCCAGGTTCAGATATTTAAGTTTTTTATCTGATTCGGCTTTCACGAGGTTTTCATCGAATGGGACGGTGACATCCACTAAGAACACCCGAGATTCCGCCCGGTCCATCAGTACGATATCAGGCTTGTTCGCAGGAACAGTCCTGTCCGTAATGACGGACCGGTCCCAGTATAATCGAGCGCGGTCATTTTCAAGAACTGGCTCCGGCACATACTTATAGTACGGCACCTTTTCGCCTATGAGGCCGTATTTGAAGGCTAGCTCGAGATGGAGTATTTTGGCTGCTTGGTCATGTCTGTGCAAATACTCGGTATTAGCCAGTACAGGACAACCGGAAGTAATATGCCTGAGTGACTCACCGGGCTGGTGACAGGCTCTACAAACATCCTCTGTCCCATCCTTCAGGATATACTTCCGGTAGTTTCGGGTCATAATGACCTGGTCCTGTATTGCACAGACAAAACCTTCGGTTTCCCCAAAGAGGTCCCCGAAGCGCAGCCAATGCACGGAGGTTCTCGGATCCACATGACGCTCGTGTAGCGCCTTGTAGAACCTACCGTGCAACTCCTTCTCTCTCCAAATGGCCTCTCGGTCAGTGGTGCTAAGTACTGCCGGTTCTCGCCATTGCTCGGTGGCCAAAGAGAGAGGGGTTAGTCCTACATCACATGCTTTGACATCTCTATGCAACTCACTGGATTCCGATTTCGCCAGGAAGTAGTTACGGAGACTGTGTATCTCGCGGTTGTGCAGGGTTTTCGCACTGAGCAGCCCACGACCGCCGCTCTTCCTCGGGATATACAGCCTCATCACTGACGATCTCGGGTGGTGCATCCTATGGAGTGTCAAAGTTGTGCGGACTTTCCGATCCAGGGCGTCCAATTCGGTCTGAGTCCATCTGAGTATGCCAAAGGTGTACATTAGGACTGGCATGACCCAACCGTTGATGGCCCTGACTTTGTTGACGCCTGATAGGTAGCTTTCAAGCACCTTAGTCAGGCGTCCCAAAAAGGCCTCCTTAACGGATTGTTTCACGTCCGCCATATGCACACCCAGATTCTGTGACATACCCAGATACCGGTATGTATCAGTTTCGGAGAGGGTACGGATGGTGGATCCATCCGGTAGGTCCACTTGGTTGGAATCACTTATCCGACCTCTATCCACATGGATAACCGCACACTTGTCCAGCCCAAACTCCATGCTGATGGAGCTACTGAAATCCTTTGTGATTTTCAGCAGCTCCGCCAGCCTCTGAGCATTTGGGGCAAGCAACTTGAGATCATCCATGTAGAAGAGGTGTGATATTTTGAGCAATCCTCTCTTCAACTGAAAACCTGTCCCTGGTTTATCCAGCAAAGTGCTAAGCGGATTTAGGGACAGGCAAAACCAAAGTGGACTCAGACAATCGCCCTGGAATATACCCCTCTCAATCTTTATTCGGTCTTCCGCATCCGACAGCTGCACCCCGAACAGACTAAGCTGCGTACTCCACTGCCCCATACAGGTCTCGAGGAAGTTTCGAACTGTACAATCGATCTTGTACAGCTCGAGGACCCTCTTCAACCACGTATGGGGAACCGAGTCAAACGCTTTTTTGTAGTCTATCCAGGCTGCAGAGAAGTTGCGTCGGTTGCGTTTGACCTGTTGGGCCACGACCGCATCGATCAGGAGAAGCTCCTTTGAACCGCGGCTCCCGCCCCTGCATCCATTCTGAGTGTCCACCATGATATGATTGTGCTCAACGTGAGCATCAATTTTAGCCTTCAGAATGAATGTCAGTGCTTTGTAGGTGGTACACAAGCACGTTATGGGGCGGTATTGTGACGGATCCGCGGTATTGGTGGACTTTGGAGCTAGGTGAGTGACCCCAGTTGTTAAGAAGTTATTATTATTATTATTATTATATATTATTATTATTATTATAAGTACTTTTTTTTACTCAAGTAGAGAGACTTTGAATATTGTGAAAAACATCAAATTCTAAACCATTTTGAATGAGCGCAATGACCTTATAAGAGACTTAGATCTGTCTAAGGAACGTGCTGAGTTACTAGCCTCAAGATTAAAATAAAAAAACTGCCTTTCTTTAGGCGTTCGAGTGTCTACATATCGCACGAGAGAACTAAGCTTATTGCAGTTTATTTACCTGATGAAAATTTCGTGTATTGCTGTAATGGTTTGCTCACTTTTATGGGTTTGACGATCTATCAGCCCAATGAATTATTTTTATTGCAAGTAGGAAATGAAGTCCCAAAGCAGTTCTTCTACATAATCGAAATAAATATGATCCCGTTCCAATTGTTCACTCAACATGTGTGAAAGAAGAATATGAGATAATCTCAATTATTTTACAGAAAATAAAATTTTTTGAACATGACTGGGTGATCTGCGTCGACTTGAAGATGGTTATTTTTTTATTGAGGCAACAGAGTGGTTATACTAAATGCCCATCCTTGATTTGTCTCTGGGACAGTCGAGCCAAATCACATCATTAGACTCAAAAAAATTGGCCTATGAGAGATGCTTTTGTTGTTGAGGAAAGAAGTTTCAAACGGAAAAAAAAAATCTATCGCTTTTGCATATAAAATAAGGTATAACTAATGTAGCAATTTGTTAAGGCTCTCGACAGTAATGAACCAGGTTTTCAATTTATTTCTCAGAAATTTCCTGATTTAAGCACTGATAAACTAAAAGCAGGTATTTTTGATAGACCTCAAATACGATAATTAATGAAAGACACCGCTAATTTGAGACTTCTATGAATGAAATGAAAAGACTTGCGTGGGAATCTTTTGTAACAGTTAGACAAAATTTCCTCGGAAATCATCAGACTGGGAACTATGTAAACTTAATAGAAGAAATGCTAATTAGTTTCAAAGATTTATGCTGTAATATGAGTATAAAAATAGACTATCTCAATAGTCATCTAGATCAATTCCAAGACAATTAAGGAGATCTAAGTGAAGAACAAGGAAAATGATTCTACCAAGACAAAAACGATGAAGGATAGATACCAAGGAAGGTGGGACACTCATAGGATGGCCGTCTATTGCTGGGGAATCAGTTGCATTCTATGAAATCACTCAAAAGGCAATTTTTTGATGGTAAATGCCAATAAAGTGTAATTATTTTGTGAAAAGTTTATTTTTTTACTAGAAAACTAGAGCCGATAGAAAAAAACCAGTAACATTTATGATATCGCCATCTAAGACATACTTAAAATCGGCTCTCTTATCCTCGGCAAAATCGTTGTAGGCCTGTGTTATTCTTGAAAGTTCGCAGGCTTTTGAATATTGCCGTGGCTTTCAAATCGGGGTCACGACAATAAGCTCGTAATGTTTATAGATATATGGTTTTTGTCATCGATGTCTCATATAAAATAAATCAAAATTAGTCGTTATTTCTATCATCAATCAACTGATTACTGAATTGCTAATCACACGCAATACTATACGTTTAAATTAATAAAATTACCATAAATATAATACATATAATAGAAACGGTAGCTCTTTCAAAGTATTTTTTCTGTAAGATATTGTCTATTTCATTCCACAAGACGTACATATTTAACACGAGAATATGTTATTGTTATTTATATGGTCTATAATGAATATCCGAAGCCTCTTTACCTGAAACCATCCCTAAATTCCTTTATGGGCTGCGGCGGTCGGTGTGTAGGCATCTCTTACATATTTCAGTTATTCTTGTGCTCTTTAGATATTTATACTGATAGATTTCTCATAGTAAAGTATTTTGTACCAGACGAAACGGTTCTTAGAAAAATATTTACCTTCATTTTCCTTCGTAAAACTATTTATCAAAATGTATGAAGACAAAATTGAAGTCTTTGTAAACATTGTATATAACTAACGAAAACAATGTATAACACAAAATTGAAATTGTGTTGGTTTATTGGTATATACAGACATTGGAATGAGTAAAATAAGTTTTCTAAAAGTAAGAATTTGAATCGAATCGCAAAAAGAAACATCGAAGTTTTTAAAGAGCAGTATAAATAGCGAGATCAAAGCAACTATAATAGTTTTATACATTTTATATACCACAGATACTCATAAACTACTACACAGACATTGTTAAAAGCATCCGAATTAATAAAAGTAGTTTCTTGTACAATTACATAAAAAAAATTGCCGTATTGTGCTCGTGATCAACCCATCTATGACCGACCCTGGCATTAGTTGCTTAACCTCCGTAAACGCAAACCAAACGCACTAACAACTACACCATTAACGAATGGCAATGTCTGTGCAGTTATAAGAATTTTTGAATCAAAAGTTAAATGCAATTTTCAACATCAATGCGTTTTTAACAATGCTAAATAAAAATATTTCATAGTTTAAATTAAAACATTAATGGCCCAATCTTGCTTCTTGGCAAAGCACACCTTTCACCATAAAAATAGTTACGGTACTTAAAAGACGCATCTCCTGTCATAAGAACTGAAACTACTACGCTTTTAAAACCAAACACAGACGATGCACTAGCACACAAAAACATAACGTAACACGTCACAATAAGACCATTTTTGGAATGCATTACAAATGTTATTTTAAGTAAAACTTAAACAGTGCAACGTCTTAAAGTAGACATGGCCAGGATTTTATGAGAAACAAGGTTAGAAAGTTTTTAATTCAGGTTTCTTTCGAAAAGGTTCTATTACCACGTGGCTCGTAAAAGTTATTCCATGTCGTGTCGTTGAAATGCAGAAGGGACTCTTATAATAAATCGTGGCGTGACCTACTGACCCACAGTTTGTGAAGGAACTTCCCTTTCGTTAGACGTGATAAATGTGAAATATATTCATCATGTGACATTTAATGCGAATACTTATCCCTTTTAATTAAAACCCCTTATGCTTTCCGAAATAAATCTTCGGGGCCATTATAAAAATTCAAAGGATAGCCTTAATTATAATTTACGGTAAATGAAAACAATGCTCAGAGTAATTAAAATAATTAAAATTATTCTCTTAGAGTTTCAAATTAATAATAGATTTTTTACATTCTTATTACTCTGTTAATAGTTATAACTTTTTATAAAAAGTAATCGTAATCGCAAGCGTAATCGCAAAGATTCTAACAGGAAATCTTCCTTTTAGATTTTTAATAAATTATATATACGAATTTGTTTTTTAGCTGAAATGACCATGACTGACCATGTCATTAAATATCATCTTAATATTTAGGTGATATCTGTTGGAAGGCGTATTTAGTTTTGTTATAAAAGAAATAGTTCTTATTTCATTTCGATAAATGCGAGAAAGATTTTTGAAAATCGGTCAACAATTGACGGAAATATCGGTGAAAATACATAAAAAAAAATCATCGCCGTTGAACACATAACCTCCTCCTTTTCGATTTTGAAGTCGGTTATAAAGATTAATTTATAGTTAATAAATTATTCTGAATTTCTTGAGTTAATTTTACTAAATATAATTAACTGAATTCTTTTGGGACCACCTCTTCGATTTTTAGATTAAACAAAAACATTAAAAAGTAATATTTATCATGTTTAAAAAAGGTATAATGGAATAATTTCCTAACAATTGATTACATCTAGGAACTTAATAACATAAAAACCACATCACAAAATTATTTTTACGCTTTATGATAAAAAAAAAAACTGGCCAAGACTACTAACGATGACAAAGGAACACGCGTATCAAGGATTCCTAACTGTAATCTGATCTAAAGGTGAGAAACGTTTCTCGTTTTTTTTTAATCTCAGGAAGAGTAATATCGGAAATCGAAGGAATGGCTTTTTTGCTATTGTTGTAATAATTTACAAATTATTTTCTTGAAACAAAAATGAATAATATCTGAAATTATAACAACATCTTTAATTTGATTTGTCATAAAATACAGTTTGTTTTGTTACTAACTATTCCCTCAAAAGGGCTCATACAAATTTTCTTCAAATTAAACTGCTCAAAGAAGCTATCCAACCACTGTCATAAATTCAGACTTATCAAATACACACAGCAACATAAACCACCAAGTGTTTTCATATGAAAATAAAATACTTCTAGTTTGTTCCAGAACGAAGTTACGCCGGTCCAAAAAATTGCTTGAATGACTTCGAAATAAAAGATAGTACTATACTGTACGTACTGTAAAAAGACGTGACTGTGCGTCTTTTTTCTCTTTTGCTAGACTTGGCGAGGATACTTCTATGCCCCAAGATATAATTTAACAAGAAATCTTAACATCCTTTACCTTTTACCTCTCCTAAAATCAATATTACATAGTTATCATCTAATTTTAGCCTAAGTATTGTGTTTCCTTTGAACCCAAGATTATTAAACAAGTTTTACATATTTGCGGAATGAGTATTATCCATTTCAAAGGTAGCCGTAGTATTTCTCTACAATCCTCGGGTACAATATTATATATTTAGGTACAGATACAATAAATATATTTTAGCATATAAAATACTGTAATATTAAGGTAAATTTGTATGAAAAAAAAAGTCACTTTCCATTACAATTTTAAATATAACAAAAAAATCGTAGACCGAATCACAAACTGCAATGCATAATAACGACCTCCATAGTCGAGTGGTTCACACGTCGGTTTCGAGGCGTTGCCAATATGTGATGTACAGTAAAATATATGAATGGAAAAGTAAGTAGTGCAAAGTGAACTCATCTCCACTAACAGCACCCATTCACGAGTACGTTTAACAACACAGTTTAACAGTACTATCGCGCTATCCACTGTGCCATCGAGTTCTTCTTATACCAAGATTCTTTCAGAGATACTTATGTCCAGCGAAGATAACTGTATTGGAGCGTGTATTAAGAACTAACCCTAAATGAAAACAAACAGGTCGAATACGGTATTTTCCAAACAAGTGAAAGTGATTAGGTTACCAAATAGGTTACAAATTAGGTTACCTACTTCATTAATTATATGCGACGGAAATAAGGTGCCTAGCAGATTACCTAACTCCTTCGCACTGTCATTTAATCTTGAGGGTTGTGCGAACGCATAATTTACAGGTTTATGGAATGGTAAAAGTAGATCGAGGAGCTTAACGGCGCAGAGCTTAGACTTTCGCAAGGGATGGGTGATCAAAATTTTACCATCTATAACTTCTGTGCGTCGAAAGGCACATAAGTCATTGGACATGGCTGCATCTGCAGCTACCAATCCGCAGTGGGGACATTAATGGTCTGGTGATGGTGAATCAGATTATGCAAATATGAATCGATATATATATAACGGCTCTCGTAGACAAAATGTGTAAGTATTTTAAAGAAAATTGTAAAAAAAAATAGACTAAGCTGCTGTGACGGAACACAACACAATAATTCAATAAATAAAGCAAAATGCATCGATTATTTATTAATAATTTTAGCCTTAGAAATTGTCGTGCTGGATGGGATTTTAAAGGTGGATTCCTGGAAAGAATCACCACTTCAAATATTTCGTTACATGTAGAAATTGACTTGGATAAACAACACATTTTAGAATAGGTCCCATTTGGGGCTGAAAAGCCTGTCATGTCAAGTAAATTATGGATTTTAAAGTGGGGTTTTAGAAGAAACGGACACTTAGAAACTAACAAAATTAGCAATATATTTGATTATAAGTGACATGTAAGGGTGAGAATTATCAAGTAGGTTATGGTGTTTCAAAATGTGTTCTTAGAAGAAATCATTATTTTAGTTTTTGTGATTGCTCGGGCCAGGGTTTGACATAGGGTCATCGAGGGCAGGTAGTACTGATTGCCTTAAATTACTACAATGTCGAGACACATGTTGAGGGTGCAGGCGTGGGACGCTTGACAACTTAAATCAGTGAAATGTTCTGTAAAGAATTGGTATTATGAAGAAATAAGTGGAGGTATTAAAATTACCTCTTTGATTTATTGGTTGCATGCAATGTCTTAAATTCAACAGAAAGGCCGAAAGACAATAAAGTAACA